TGAATTTAAAAACTATGAAGAAGTCAATAGCAATAACTGTCAAAAATTCGAAAGAATTATTGCCTCAGAAGGTAAATACTCAAATACACGATTAGAATTTTCCATATTGTTTGAAATATATCCGGATATTTAAAATCCACGTGAAAATCAATAACTGCTGAAAATACAATTGAAACATTACATCGATTTGCAATATTATCTGGCTTAAAATGAACACTGAAAAAAGTGATTATCTAAATGCATCTAACACATAACTGTGGAAAAGAAAATGTTTTTTTTTTTTTTTTTTTTTTTTAAAAGAAAATGTTATTTNTTTTTTTTTTTTACTTTTTAAAAGAAAATGTTTTTTTGCAAGAACTCTTCTGCGACAATGTCGCCGCGATTCTGCCACGGGATTTCTGATCATCATAAAATTGTTTGTTAATCAATGCTTTAAGTATTTATTTGATGTATGTATTCTAACAGTGAACAAGCACAGGCATGAAGTGCTCATGACTTACAGGGGTCACAGTGTTCTCCAAACCCTGATTCACCTGAGTCCACCACTGGACAGTGCTACATCTACACAAGGAAGATTTGTGGGTGAGTTTTTTAAATTTAAGATACTTTTTCAATTCTGTACAAGAAAATTAATGCTTGTTGAACCTCGTTAACGCGAAATCGGTGGAACTATCATAATTGTTTACCGAATTTCGTCTGATATGATATATCGTGAAAAAAATTCATTCGTGTATTATTAATACATGTTATGTACTACATTAATGTATACAAACAATGCTATTATGAACCAAACAAATTAAAATAAGCTTAAAAGTTTTAACTACTTTATTAAACTATTTTATATTACCTATTTTATTTATTTGCCCATCTGCTGCTTCTAACAAAGGAAGAAAATTGAAATAGCATTCCTCAAAAGGAATGATTGAAGTTTTATTCACATGCTCATTGCCAGTGTTGTGTCCAGTTTCCTTTCATGTTAAGCGATAATCAGCTTAAAAATTTCATGTTAGACTTGTAAAATGCAGCAAATATTGATTGCTGACTCATGGTGACCATACATTTGTTTCATGTAAAGCAATATGTCATTTTAAGCTTTTTCGCCCTAGTGATGTTCAACTGTATAACATGTATTGTACTAAAAATGCTTTTATTGACACTAACTATAAAGTGGAAAAACTTTGCTATGTCTTGGATGTCTGTGTTCAATGACTATTTTCTTCCTTTGTTAGAAGTAGCAGATGGGCAAATTAATAAAATTGTTAAAATAAAATGGTTTAATAAAGTAGCTATAACTCTTAAGCTTATTTTAATTTCTTTGGTTCATGATAGTATTGTGAGACATGACAAATTTTACTTTGAAGTTAGCAGGTTTTGATAGAAATCTAATATTCTTAACAAAAAAAATGAATCAAAATTTTTTTTAGTTGTAGAATATAAATATAGCAAAGTGTATTATGTAAATATGAAGTATCTTATTTTATCAAAAATTAGGTTGCTTTCATTTACCCAAATTGTACTGACAACTTTGCGAGAAAATATTTTTTATTGCAAAATTGAATTTTAATGTAAGGAATACTCATAAAGAGTATTGATCAACTGCACAAAGTAACAAAAAAATTGGTAAAGAATAAGGCCAATTACTTTAACAAAAGATTTAAAATTTTTGTACTGTTATGAGGTTGATGGTTGTGTCATTTGCTGTTAAGGCTTTAATATTCTGAGAGTTTTTGTTATTACGAAATCTAGTGAGGACTTTTCGTTAAAGCATTTTTTTTATTTTCATTGGTGTCATTCAGCTCAATTTATGGATAAGTTTGGTTACGGTTACAGTTTGGTACATTTGGTTACAAAATATTATTTCTGATGAATGGAACAATTTGACGTGCATGCACAGTGTCTTAGTTATTAGAAGTTTTTTATGTTTTGTTTTATGTGCTTTGTATACTGCATCATAAATTTTTGATTTACAGTTTATGATATTTTGACGGGTAAAATCAAGGCAATACTTAGGGGTCACAAAGGTTGTGTACGAGATGTGGCATGGCATCCTTACAGAAATGAAATAATGAGTAGTTCAGTGAGTATTCTCTGTTTCTCACATCATATGTATAGTTTGTCTATGGTAAGAACTCCCCCTGCCGCAAAGTCTGAGGCTGTCTGCTGCTCTGGAAACAAGAACAGCGCATTTCAGGGAGTGTAGCTTCTCTTTACTCTAGGGCTAACACAGTTGACCGGGAAAAAAAAGATCCCCTTTCTCTCACCGACCTGGGCCAAAACCTCTCTTAAACAATGATCCCACACTCCTACTTGAAATAATTATACCTCGTTACCATAGTCACCACCACAGGTCCAGGCGAATGGTTAGGGGAGTTCTTATTTTAGACAAATTATAGTAGGTTGTGCTGTAACTCTTTCATTGGACTTTGTTATTGAAAAGCTGAAGAATGATTCAGTGGTTTCTTTTCTATGTTCATCAGAAATTTATTCCAAGATTAATATTACTTGTGATTGAATGTTTGCAAATATAGTTTGTTTATGTAATTAAATGTCTGATTACTTTAAACTAGCTTGATAGCTTTGTAGATTTTATTTTCAAAGTTAACATATGTATTTTTTAAAAAAAATAATTTTCAAAATACAAAAGTAATTGAAGTATTATTATAGACACATTTGTTTATGTTTTTATAAGATTAAAAATGTGAAATAAAATCTCAGAGTTGCCCATTTTTTCTGGAATTGTTAATTCATTTATCAATCTTTTTAAAATAATGCATTAAAAAATTAGTTTCTTTCTTTTTGTTCTTTTTTGTTAGAAAATATGGTTGCTGGTTTGCCACTCCACAGGGAAAATAGGGAAAAAACTGGAAAATACGGGGAAAGTTAACAAATGTATTTTTAAAAAAAAATTAATTTTCAATATACAAAAGTAATTGAAGTATTATTATAGATACATTTGTTTATGTTTTTTTAAGATTAAAAATGTGAAATAAAATCTCAGAGTTGCCCATCTTTTCTGGAATTGTTAATTCATTTATCAATCTACTAAAGTTAAAATAATGCATTAAAAAATTAAGTTTTTTTCTTTTTTCTTAAAAAATATAGTTGCAGGGTTGCCTCTCCACAGGGAGAATAGGGAAAAAACTGGAAAATACGGGGAATTTAAAAATCACCTAAAATAACCGGGAAAATGCGGGCAATTTTAAGATTTTCATTACAAACTGGAAAAATACAATGAATTTTGTTTCTCATTTTCGTCTTTAAAAAAAATGATAACTACTCAAAACGCAATCTATGGGATATTTCAGCTATACTAAACTATTTCATTTATATTATTTGTTTTAATTATGTTCAACTGTGTACCATTTTCTCTAAGTTTTTCCAGCAATTAAAATTACTCTAGTTAGCCCAATATAGCTCACTGATTATGTGTTTCCTCTCAATATATTGTGTATAATATTTACGGGGAATTTTTTTCCAGATTAGAGTGAAAAACCTTGGGTTTTTGCAATCCTAAAATTTGTTTAATGTTAACTATTAAAATTTGTTAATATTGAGGAACCAAGAAAATTTATTTCAGTGAAAGAATAAAATAAAATGGTCTTTTGCAGTGGGATGGAACAGTTGTGAAATGGACTTTTAATAAGACAGACTCTGAAGATATAATGCCTGGCCAAAGCAGTAAAGTGGATGGTTTGAGGAGATCCCAGCGTTTAGCAGATAAGAGAAGGGAAACCAGGCTTTTCTCTCCTATTGTATTGTAATTAATAAAAATATATTTTTTTAAAGAAGGTGTTATGTATAAATAAAAGTCAATAAAATTTGCTTTTATCTGTGAAGTTTTATTAGAGTATTAATATTGCTACATTATAACTTAACACCTATACTGTTGTGCAATTGAAAGTACAATGCAAGTGCTTCTCATTAAATAAAAAAAACTTGAGGACTATTTCCTTTTTCTTAGCAATGCTAGTAATACTAAAAAAGAATTTTGAAAAATTAATAAAGAAAACTGAGTTTTGAAAAAAAAATTTTTTTTTTGCTCTATGCAGACTTTATAGTTGTTCTGATGTTCCTGATGGAAAAAAAAGATTTTTTTTTCTTATTCATCTTGATTTTTAACTTTTTGCCCTGATTATTCCTAGTTTCTGTGTATGTTCATTTTCTAGAAATACAAATACGGTTTTTTAAAAAATAGGTTTTATAAACATTCACAAGATTTTGATTTTTGATCCAAATTTTTTTAATATTTTTTATTAATAGTTCTAGTTGTTCTGATGTTCCTGATGGAAAAAAAGGTTTTTTTTTTGTTTATTCATCTTGATTTTTAGCTTTTTGCCCTGATTATTCCTAGTTTCTGTGCATGTTCTTTTTCTAGAAATACAAATACGGTTTTTTAAAGAATAGGTTTTAAAAACATTCACAAGATTTTGATTTTTGATCCAAATTTTTATTTTTTATTAATAGTTCTGGTAGAGAACGCAGAATTTGATAGTTCTAGTTTAAAGACCATCTACTATATAAATGGTTCAGGCGCATAGGAACTGAAAGTACATATTACTGACTGTACGGTATAGAACTAAACTTGTTTCAACCTTTTTGTGAATACAGTCATTTTATAAGAAAGATACTTAGTTAACAGTTTTACATTATCTGGAATGCATTTATTTATTATTTTTAGCAAGTGCAGTGACAAATCTTGCAGAGTGGAGTTTTGTAGTTTCACAATTCTTGATTCATTTCTTAAATGTGATTTTAAAAACTGTTCAGTTCCAATCTATGATCAGATTTCGTAATTGTTCTGATATTCCTAACTTTCTGGGTGAAAAATATTTTGTTCCTATTTGTCATGATTTTTAGCTTTTGTTCCCTGATTTTAGCTGCGTTCTGAACATCTGATTTTCTAAGAATATGGATGAAAAATTTGATTTGAAGAATCAAAACATTTGCATTTTCTATCCAACACCTTTTTATTTTAATTAATAATAATTGTAGAAATCACAAAATTTGATTCCGAAAATTTAACATGCACTTAGACTTTAAATTAAATGAGTAGTTAAATTCACACTNGTTTTAAAAAACTTTATTTGTGAAAACCTTCAGCGTGGCGGACAGCTGGCCGCCTTAGGCGGCTAGTTAATAATAATTGTAGAAATCACAAAATTTGATTCCGAAAATTTAACATGTACTTAGACTTTAAATTAAATGAGTAGTTAAATTCACACTGATATAACTTGATTTTAAAAATAAAAAAATTATTTTTTGAAGGAAATGAACTTTTATAAAGAGGGCAGTTGGTTATGGTGTCACTCACACCCAATAACACCCCAGGACTCACACCACTGGTTGATGAGCTGGAAGTAGTGAGTTTGATCCTGCCAACCGGCATGTTTACGCAGTAAGGTGCACATTATGTTTATTATGGCTAAAAGTCCTCTCGGTGGTTGTGGTGTGGAAGTTTGAAGAGAGGGGTTCATGTCTACTGTCCACGTCGTCTGCCTTGGGTCAAAATTACTTGCCATTCCTACCATGGACGTTAAGGGATAAAACCTTAAAAATGGAACTAGATGGTTGGGTGGTGTGTGAAGTTTTTTAATCAAGTAATAACGTAGAACTTTAGTTTCTGGGGATTATTTCTTTAGTAAAAATATTAATTCTCCTGCATTTAAATTACATTATAAAGTTTTTTAAATTTTTTGTTTTTTTGCATTTAGTTTCGTTCTATACAAATAATTATTTGATTTTTTATAACATTCAGAAATTTGTAAATTTTTCTCTTGCTTGCAACATAATTTACCAAAAATCCAATTTTTTAATTTGACTGCAATAGCTTTTAAAGGAATATTATAACCCTCTAACAGACATCAAATAAAAAAAATTTATTTTAAAAACGAAATATTTATTCAAAACCAAACGTTCTATTTTTAGAACATTGGCGTTTTAAGAATTATGTCCTCTACATTTTATTCAATTGTTATTGTGACCATATATGGCAGTACTTTTACTTTCGTTACTTGTACCGCCGGTACAAGTAAAAAGTACGTACTTTTACTTGTACTTCGTTAATTTTTAATTTTGGTACTTTTACTTGTACT